TAATATTATATATATATCAAAATAATTAATAGTTTCGAAAATATTTCAGTCTTATGATTATTCTAACTTTATAAATGAAAATAATTTTTACGATGTTGAATATTCAAATTGTAGCTCTTCTATTATATATCGTATGTCAGGATTGTCAACAAAGCGTATGAAGTAGAGATAGGCGGTCTAGCGAAAGACCCCTCTTGCCCCTGTGCCGTCCCGCGAGACTTCTTTCCAGCAGTAAACACGTGTCAATTTGAAATATTTTCTCTCGATAATCGCCGCATGCATCTGATGTTTATGTTTTCGTAAAACCGTACTAAATAACAAAATTATTTTGATTTACCTCTCGAATCGGCATTCTTGGTCGGTGAATTTGCCACCGATCTGCGAGCCACGTCTTGGAACGTGATAGGGGAATAAATTCTTCTTTCCTCGGGGATAAAAGTTGATTCCGCAGGCGTGGGAGAGCCAATCTTGGAACCTCTCCTAGAGGACGTCGATGCGTCCAGACAATTTTGATTTTCATATATGGTCGTCGAAATGTTGAAAGCAGCGGGCGTTCCCGCGGATACTCTTTTCTCAGTGCTTCTCGTGTGCCACTGAGGTGGTTCTTGAATGGTGATTCCCTTGGTCGACGATGATCTATGCTCCCTTTTCTCCAGCCAATAAGTCTTCATTATCCCTGAAATCAGGCCAGATATATATATATATATATTTGAAATATTTTCATTCGATTCGATTCGTCAATATTATAAGGATAGAGATATAAGGTCACTACACCTTTGCCTTTCACCTCTATCTCCCCTCGTTCCTTAACCCTATACGACGGCGACAATAATTCTTTCGTCGATTGCGATATGTGTATTTGCATCGCTTGGCTGGTCGCCTCCATGCGAGACGCCGTGTTCACGGAGTCGCCGAATAAACAGTATCTCGGCATTTTCAAACCCACTATACCAGCCACCACGGCCCCGCTGTGAACACCAACTCGTATTTGAAGATGAAGGCCTGAAAACGACGATCGCATTGGAGGAAATGATACGTTTTTACTTTGTCGAAACCAGTGTTGTTAAGCCAGTGATGATGATTTCCAACCTGTGGAACGGTCTTTCAGGTCTGTTATTGCCTCAACCATATCGAGTGCCATGTCGCACACACGATCCGCGTGATCGTTCTCCTTCACCGGAGCACCGGACACAACCATATAGGCGTCTCCGATCGTTTCGACCTACGAACGAAAGAGAGAGATGTAGAGAAAACAAACGAAACAAGAGTTTTATATATTTTGTGAAAAAATTATCCATGCATCGTAACCGGGAGTATATATATATTAATATAATATATTTTTTATAGATCGATATTGATATTCTCCCGAATGTTGACTTCGTTCGATTATTTAAATTTATTTTAAATCGTTTGAAAAAAAATCTAATCTCTCGATTACGATACGCGTTGAAAATAAATCGAGTTTGAAAAGTTAATCGAAGTAACGTATTTTAGCGAGATAATGATTTGATTGACGAATAAATGCTAACTCTTACTACCTAAGAATACCTTATACACCCGGTTCCTTTCCGTTAACGTGTCGAAAAGGGAGTACATCGCGTTTAACATGGACACCACCTCCATCGGTGTGATTCTGCTGCAGATTTCTGTAAATGTGACTACGTCCGAGAATAAAATTGAAACGCTGTCGAACATCTGAAATAGTCATGATAGCGAAACGTGTTAATCAACGCCGGCCAGAGAGATCCCTATTTTTCGACATCTACAGCGCCGTTCAAAAATACGTATCACGTTTTCTTTTGCTCTTATCCCCCGCTATTCTCCTTCTCTTTATCGTTTCGTCGATAATATTGGAATATTTTCGTCATCATATCGCGCTTTATCGATCGAGTTCTTTCTTCTTGATCGGTAACGATAAAGGATCTTTGTACTCGAAACGATAGGAAAATAGCGATAGAAGAAAGTACTATTCACTGTTAGAAAGAAGTCTCATGGAACAGAGGCAATAAAATCCATCAAAATATCTGTATGTAAACCTCAATGCATTAACGTAAGCATAGAATCCAGAGTATTCTAACGTATCAATATAATATAAAAATTTTTTTATTTCTTATAATATGCATAAGCTAATTATAATTTGTAACGATAATTTAATTTATAAATGTAATTTTATATTTAAGATAAGAATTGCATGTATATGAATAATCGTATGTCAGGATTACCAACAAAGCATTTGAGGTGAAAAGAGGCGGTCCTAGCGAAGGACCCCTCTTGCTCCTATGCCGTCCCGCGAAACTTCTTTCCAGCAGTGAACAGTAGAGGGAGATAATATATAATTTTTACGATCGAAAGAAGCCGTGTTCTTGAAATATAGTTATTTCAATGAAATTTTGTCTATCGCGAAAAATAAAATTCCGAACGTTGATAACAAGATTCGGTTTTTTGTTTTTTTAAACAAGTCGAAGAAAAATAGAAAGATATCGTCGTTAAAATAAAAAAAGGGAAATTGAAAATCATAAAAGAAAGGTTAGTTTCCTTACTTCGCACGTGTCTATCGGATTCTCGCCGTTTCTCAAACGATCCGCCACTTGTTTCGGTATCATCTGATACAACAATTCATCCGTACGTTTCATTTCTTCGTCCAACTTTCTCATAGACTCTTCTAGCTTCTTGCTTTTCAATTGCTCCTGATCCAAAGCTAACTTAAGCTCCACCGATTGTTGCGTACCGGCGAGCATTAGATCCCTGCAATATGAGGCTCCATCGTACAATGTGCGATTCTTCGATCACGATCTGATAATAATAATAATAATAATAATAATAATAAAAGAAAGAACATCATCACCTGCTAAAGTCGTGCATGGATAGATCGTTTATGTAAAGACCCGTCGCGATCAAAGCGTTGAGATCTGGCATAACGGGGGTACCAAGGTACATCATCATCTTCCAGTTATCCATATATATCATCTGACCTAAAGGATATGATGGATATTCGATTACAAAGATTCGAAGAGAATGGATAAACAAAATATCCATCCTCCATCTCGAATATATTTAAATTTTCTTAAACAAATTTTCGCATTATTTTTTTTTTACTAATCTTTTTCCCAAAGTATAATATAGTAATAGATGTATTTTTCGCATGCTGAAACCATCGTTTTTAATTACGATTGGATTACTTTCGGTTCTACGAAAATGACCATTTTTTTTTTTCTTCTTTCAAATGATATTTTTTTAATCTCGAGGGATAAGAAGAGAAACTGAAATATGCAGACTGTAATAAATACGACGAATAGGTGAATCACCATTACAATTTTTTGGTAAAACCAAACTGGGGGGAGGGGGAAAAAAAAGTAGTTGACCTTACTGATTTCTGTCTCGAGGATATATCTCAAGGTCAACATCCCGGGTAATTTATTTTCTACACACGCCGCTCGATTTTAACTTCGGATACGCGAATAAATATTTTTAATACCTCGAATACATATACGAAATGTGTAAGCGGATCATCGAGTCTATCGTAAGAAATAAATTAATCTTGAAATAAAAAGAGTTTCATTTTTAGACTACGTAACTAAAACATATCTATTACACAGATATACGTTACAATCTTAAGAATAATATTTTCAATTATGATATTACAACAAAATAAATAGCCTCGTTATAAGATGGAATATTTCTAAAAGCCTAAAACATTTTTACAAACGAAATTGAATAATTACCGATTCACGAGACGATTAATAAATCGAATCGGTCTTTGTAAATTTATAAAAAAAAAAAAAAAAAAAAAAAAAAGAGGAAACGGAAGAATACCTTTCAATCTCAATGTCCTGTCATCTACCGAATCGAGTTCATCGCTCAATAATATTTCATTTCTCTGCCGATCTGATGGCCGTTCGGTGAGAATCGGTTCCACGGTTACCAACTCGAAAATATTGTTCGTCCTGTTTAAAATCTGTAACCAGAATAAATCACAAGAATCATCGTCACATAACGTAATAATAATAATAAACTGGAAGAAATAATCAAAATAAAGAAAAATGATGAGATTTTGATCGATGGTACACGGATACGTACAGAATGAAACTTAAATGCGATAAGCGGTCTGACGAGATCGAAGAAATGAGTTATCTTCTTACCCACAAGATCGGGTAATATTACCATCAACGAATTTCCAATACTTCTTACGATCATGTCTGATCTGAAAAAAAAAAACGGAAACTCAATTATAGAGGGGGGGGGGGGGGGGGGGGGGAGGGGAAATTAAAAATTGTAATACTTGTAATTTATTTATAATTACGCGAAACGAAATGAAATATCGAAGCATACCCGAAAACGATACAGAAAGGGAATATTTCGAACAAAACGGAAGCTCCTATTGGTAAATGTTTCTCCTCGCGCGTCATCGCCAGCGAGGCTTGCGTAAAAGCCCTGTTATCGAAGGTGAGTTGGAAGGTGACGTGCACGGTGTCGAAAAGGATTTCCTCACGCACAAGCTCGATCTGTAATTCCTTGTGATAAAAGTGACGAGCCACCTCTCTTATCTGGCCCATCGTGTAATAAACGAATCCTCGTCGTTTGCTCCTGTAATGGAGGGTCAGACCTACAATGAGGAGGGGAAGGCAATCAATGTAAATTTAGACCACGATTTCTTTTTTCTATGGATGGAATATACTATCTATTTGTATATAGGAAACATTGTGGATCTTTAGAATAAAATGGATCGAAATTAATAGCTAATATCATTGTTATTTTGGATATTCGCTGCTGGAAAGAAATCTTGAAAAAAAAAAATGCGGGTCTGATTGGTTAATGTGGAAAAAAATTCGATTTCTCGTAATATACGTAGACTAATTATGATTTGTAACGATAGTTTAATTTATAAACGAAATTTCGTATTTAAATAGTTAAAATAATAATTGTATATATACAAATAAACTAGATATAGATATAGTTTTGAAAATACTTTAGCTAATCTTGAATGATTATTCTATAAACTTTCTGAAAATGAGAATAATTTTTACGACTTTCAACGTTCAAACTCTTCTATTACTGTGCAGTGTTGTAGTGTCAGAATTGTCAACAAAGCGTCTGAAGTGGGGATGGGCGGTCCTAGCGAAGCATTAGAGAACCCCTCTTGCCCCGGTGCCCCTGTCCCGCGAGATTTCTTTTCAGCGACGAACAGTATTTCATAAAATAAAATTTCAAAGAGTTTTCTTTAATACGATTCAGATCCAGAATCAGGGGGAAGATTTTTACCTTGTCGTGTCTCGTTCTCGCAAATAAAGGAAGGAGCTCTCATCCTAGGGTAGGAGAATTTCAGATATTCGTGTAAATTGTCCAATCCATTGAGGAAATCTCTTACGTGACGTCCAAGTACTGAAAGCACACGATCATAACCGTACTGGCCAACGAATCCTACGAAGTGTACACCCATCTGATCGAAAAATTCTTTTTCCGTTACGCCAAGAACCTGTGATGTGAGCGAGAAACGTATTCGATTGAATTAAACGACTTTCATCTTAACAGACGAAAGGAATAAAAGAAACGTAGAAGAAGAAAGAAATTTAAAAGAATCGTCCATTTATATTCCGTTATACGTGGTCTGACGATAAATCGTGAAAATTTTCTCTAGAATTCGATATTTTAAGACGATCGCCGTTCAGAGCATTAATCCATTAAAAAAAATAGTTAATTAAAAATTTACGTTAAAAATTTCGAATAAAGCTACTTTAATTATTTTTTAATTATTTTTTAAAATGTTTGAATAATATTTATTCGTAATTATTATAGTTATAGATCCGCTTTTCATATAACTTCAGCATTACAATTATTTTCGATTATTTTATTGTATTTTGAACAAGAAATTATTTATCGAAGTAACTTTATTCGTAACTTCAACTATTAAATTTTATCCACCACTGTCACTGTTATAATCGTCAGATCTCGTGTAATGAACGATACAAAGTTTCTTCAGTTGTTTTCAACGAGAATTGAAAATTACACCGACTTAATATCATACACTTACCTGAATAGCTTTCTTCGCTAATCTCGGTATAAGATTTTCAGGATAAACCTGATGAACGCTGAAGCTGGGTTGTTCTACGGATGCTTGTCGTCGGATCTCTTCCCATCTGTCTTCCCCGTACACCTGCCGTATGTATTCAGACATATTTTCCAAAATTAGGCCGTACATGTTTGCTAATTTTCACTCCTTCCTACTGTAAACGAAAAAGAAAAAAAATAATTTTAAAAATGCATACGATATATAAACTTTATTTTTTCTTTAAATAAAAATTATATTTAATTTTTTGATCATTTTTGATCACAAATGACAGTAACGTTTAAAAGAATCCTTTAGAATTTTTTTGCGAGTAAACCACTTGTTTGCATTCGTATAATAATTCAGCACAGGATTAAAATGAAACGCTTGTCGGAATAGCGAGCACGAATCGCATTTGATTTATTTTCCACATATTTTACATTTCAAATGTTAATCTTTAAAGAAAAAATATATATATATATATACTCTTTCTTCTTATTTTTTCTATCGCTTCTATCTACGAAACTTGAATTTTCGATAAACGAACGTGTGAGACATTGCACGATATTTACATTGCTACTGTCTCCAGTGATGGTGAGACGAAATCTTGTTGCCATAACCGACGAAAATAATGCGATATTTCCCGAGCGATAGGGATCATTTCGACGACCGATTTCGGATGCTACTCGCGTTTTTCGATTATGATGATCACTGACCCCGCGCACCAAAAGGACGAGGCCTGGAAGGAGGCGGTTTTTGCTTGAATTAAAATCAAGCGTCCATATAAGTAAGAGGCTGGTTATTATTAGACCGTTCACAATTTCGCTCACGTACGCACCTTCACCGATGGACACATCGCGGATAGATTCGGTCGAGGATGAAAAACGAGAGTTCTCCTCCTCCTTTGTGACCCTTTAGACTTGTCATCTATTTATTATTATCCTTTCCACTTTTACTTTCCTACTGTTATCGGTCACTCGATCGAATCGAAAAATCGTCGGGTCGAAAATCGATTCATCGGTTCATGACAACCATTTCATTTTCCTCCCTCTTTTTTCCAACGTTGCTCGTTGTATCTCGTTTCGAAAGGGCGAAAGGACGAATTCTTTTAATCTCCTCCCCCCTCCCCTCTCTCTCTCTCTCTTACTCGCGATCAATTTCTACCAATTTCAGAGTGGAAGAGCACGCATATCTCGCATCTGCAACTTCTATTTATACGATCGGCTAGCGGAGGACCGTGAAGTCACTAGAAAAATATCCTGAAATAAACACCCTCTCGATTAACGATTTTCCGCTAAACTGTCGCCAATTCCAAATCGAAACTCTCGAAGAACTTTTAAAGATTTATTAGGGCAGAGAGATTAAGGGCGAATTTGAACGTCGCGTAGGATGCAGGAAGGATGGAGACGGATGTCAATCGCGCGAAAACGTTAGAAAGGAAAAAAGATGAGATAGGATCGAAAAAAAAAAAAAAAAATGAAATAAATCGAAAGGACGACTTTTTCTTTGCTTGAGAGATATTATTTCTTTGTTGACCGAGAGCACTTTTTAACTGGGCGGCCGGCACGATCCCGGAATGCTCATTTTGCCTTGCATGCTCGATGCCACATCGCAACATTTCGTACTCCGTTGTAGATTTACGATTTTTTGCATTTCGCGTAATAACGCATGCATGTCTTGAATACTCGTTTTTTTTTTTTTTTTTTTTTTTTTGCCTCTTTGCATACGTCACGAACACGCTCCGACACATTTTCATCTTTTAACCTCGAGTAAACGATAACGAAATAATTTTGCATTTCGAACCAGTGTCTATTTTAAAATAATTCGCGTAATTTTACAAATTATTATTACAGATCCTAATCGACGTAAAAAAAAAAAAAAAAACAACTCACAACGAGTTAACAATAACGAGAAACCAAATAAATCAAATGATACACGATTACACCAAATTACACGAATGTTGAAAATGAACACGAATAAATTTTCGAACCGATCGTCTTACCGATCGATCCTTCGAAATCCTTTAAAAAGAGAGAGAAAGAGAAAAGAAGAAGAAGAAGAAGAAGAAGCGAATATTACAAGAAAGAGAGAAGAAAAAAAAAAAAGACGCGTCACTTACGTGAACTCTCTCTCGTTGATACAAGAATGGAAGGTATCGGTCAGCCAGAACCGGAAACGCGGATGGTAAGAGGTGGTAAATAGCCACCTCGTTCAAGGGACGATCTATCGACAGTGCATACACTTCACTTGCGTCACTCGTTCTGAAACTTGTGCGGGCGGAAAGACGCGGCTGATACTATATACTCGCGCGCACAAAAATGAATCCTCGGCAGGAAAATGCAGTGGCGGTGGACGGGTGAGGGGTGGTGGGCGCAGGAAAACGAAAGGGAGAGTGGATCTAGGTTTTTTCTTCTCTCTCTCTCTCTCTCTCTCTCTCTTTCTCTCTCTCGTCTCAGTTACGATGCCGCTACGTTGTTACACATTTCGTGGATTCACGTGTCCTGCGGGACGGTGTCCACGGAATAGTTCGGCCGGCCGGCAACTCCCTCTTTTTCCCTCTTCGTCTATCGCTCATCTACCCCCATCGCTCTCCCTTCCCCCCTACCGTTCGGTCGACCAGTCACGAGACGGGCGGCGAATCTCGAGCCGCTTTTTCGAGAGAGAGACGTCCAATTCTTCCCGGCTGGAAAAGTTAGAACGTTAACGTCGTAACGTTTGGGAGGGAAGAGGGAGGGGGAAAGGAGGAGGGACAATTCGCGAAAACTTTGTCCCTCTTTTTTATTTTTTTTATTTCAAAGATGATAAAGAGCGAAATGTCGGATTGTTATAAACGTTTGGGGAAAAACTTTCGTTATATGAAAGTTTTCGCGACACGCGAGTTTGCCAAAGGCGATATCTCTCTCTCTCTCTCTCTCTCTCTCTCTCTCTCTCTCTCTCTCTCTCTCTCTCTCTCTCTCTCTCTCTCTCTCTCTCTCTCTGGGGAACATCTGTCCACCGTTCCGGCGCGTAACATTTCGATATAGAGCGGCCCACATCCCTCACTTTTTAGTTTTCTCTGATCCATTTTTATTTTTTTTTTTTTTTTACAATTTTTACAATTTCTTCGTTCGAATTAAAATATTCGAATCTCGATCGAGACACGACACGTACGTGTAATCGGAACAATCTCGAACAATTATTTCGATTAATTCTATTTCTATTTCATCGTTTCGTGTGATTCGCAAATCGGTACTATTTTTTCCTCTGTCTTCTTATCTTATTCGCCCATTTTATATTAATTTTTCTTGAAAATGCACGAATTTAGCATTAGCTTACTTGTTAAGCTAATACGATCCTTAAGGACGCGTGTTGCAACCATTTCGACCGACTCGTGCGTCCTCGTCGTTATTGGATACGGTTATAATTGTCCTGGTATACTTAACGAACGTTCAAGCAAATTACACGGCATCGAAATACACTCTGTATTGTGCTCTAAATTGATATTAAGTCTAATGAGAGAGGGCTGTCGTTTCTGGATGGGCCTCTGCCATGTGAACGCAAAGGGAAACGTTCTACTTTCCGTGGCGTCTATAATTTATTAACTCGCCTCGAGAAACCGATTAAAAAATTACATGCTCTTCGACGATTAATAACATAGAGGTATGATTGAAACAATTTTTACAAGCACTCGATATTAATTAATCAATTAATTAATTAAGCTCGAATAAATAATAATATTGTCGATCGGTATTATTTCAAATAATATGAGTATAATGATAATTAAATAATAGAAAAGTTTTAATTTTTTCATATTTAATTGATAAAAGAACATTATTTTTGTACAACTATTTTTAACGCATTTTTTTTTTTATAATATAAGGTATCATACAACTTTTTATCTAAATAATATTTCTTTGATAATAAGCATATGCCTAATTTAAGAAACGAAAGAACGATTTTCTCCTTTTTCCTTTCATATTAATACTCAAATATACTAAATTCGATCGTATCGTTGATATAAAAGAGCAAAAAGAGCACGTGTATATACGATGCTTGATTATTTGGAATACGTTTGTCTTGACCGCGTATTAAATGTATCTTAAATCGTGTAAACTACGAAAATTCGTACGGTTTAGAGACTGTCCTATATCCTAATCGTTCTTTAAACTTTATAGCCAACAATGTGTTCTGTTATACGAACCATCAGCTGATCGACATGACTCGAACGCGACGAGAGGCACAGGGGATGCAGCAGGTGTTATAACGAGCCTACCTCCACACAACAGAACCACGCTCACGTTAACCAACTATTTTCCTGTGTATACGAACGTACTGACAATCAGCTGAGACGCGCACACTCGGGATCAATCGCGAAACGAATCCTGCGCAGACACGAATTTCATGGATGCGCGCAGGATTCTTCCGGCTTTGCGATACAATTTCGTGGTTAGGTTTTTTCTTATAAGTGAAAATTATCTTAAATATTTTCTAAATTTTTGTTTCTATTTTTTTTTTTTCCTTTTATTCATTCAATTTTTCAAATTCTGACACGTAGATGGTAGATGATAGACCATTGTTCAAAAATTTGGAATCATTTCTTTTTCCTTTTTACATTGAATCTGTATTTATAATTTCCGTTAATTAATTCGAAATCAATTAACCTGTTGAATTGTCGCGCGTTCACGTAATGTACGTCGAGGTTCATAGTCTAGGAAAAATTAAATTGAAAGATTGATATCTCGAAATAAAGAGAATTGTTTGCATTTCATTTAAAATTATCGAAATCTACATATTTTTTATTGGGATTCAAAAAACTTCTTCGCTAATCGTTAATCGTGTGATACTGCATTTTCAATTTTATGTTTTTTTAATTTCCTATATGTACTTAATAACAAATTCAATATAATAAATTCATATCATTATTTAACATATTAATATTTTTATAATATGAAAATTTCAACGTTTTTTCTATATTTTCATTTCAAAGGATATTAAGAAAAGATATTATATAATAAGCATTTTTAATATTTTATTTATTTTTAAGAAATTATTTTTAAAAAAATTGCAAGAGGCATACTCACCTCATCCCATATTCCTTAGTTTATATTTCAGCAACAAAGATAAAACAGCCGAAGAAATTGAATTAATCTAAATAATTTAATACGAAAATTTACAACGTTATGTATTATTCGTAAAAAAAATTATACAATTATTATTTATTATACAGACACACATCACCAACGTTTCTTCTTCATATTGCAATAATAAATAAATATTACGATATAATTTACATTTTTACATTTATTCTACTTTATTAAGTTCAAATCAGCACAAAAGAAAGAAGAAAATTTTTTTTCTATCTTATATTATTTTCTATTTCAGTTCTATTTTCTATTTCACGCGTGAGATCATAGAATGCCAGTGTCCGTCGAACAATCGAACACGTTACTGACCACGGCATACACCAGACATGCTACTGTCTACATAGAAGGTTGCTATTTCCTGCTATTAACCAGCAAACTCGATCAGAAAGTCAAGCGATGATGTACGTCGCTCATATAATAAGCCGATACCAAGAGAGACTACTAACGAGCCATCGTAGACGTAAATCGTAAGGGGACGAAACCAGTTGCCAGGAGAATTGCATTTGCATGCTGCGTAACGTGGTCGCGTAGAAAGTAAAATGGTAATCACCTTTGGTTATTCTTAATAGAGTAGACCTGACGCGAACGCACACATGCTCCTCATCGAAGATTGTGTCAGTCATTGACAAGTATTACATCGTTTTTGCGCGTATTAATAAACGTATACAATTTGCGTAATAGATTCTATTGAAAAAGGAACGCTCATTTGTTGACGAAGTAATATCATAATTTTTTTTAGAGAAACATTAAGATAAGATAAGATTTATATGATAGAAATTTTGTTTGTTGTAATATTTATGTAATAAATTATTTAGAAATAGAACTTGGAAATGAAGAATTTTAATAAATGATAAAGTTATTATTAGATTAAAATTTTGTTATTATTAGTTATTATAAACACAAATTTATGCAAGTTCGATTAAATAAGTAATGGTAAACATTAAAGAAAAATGATTAGGATTTATTAGGATTGAATTAAAAAGAAATTGATTTCTTTATAAATAATAATATCAAGTCAATATACTTACGTAGATAGTTACCAAAATTCATAATCATTTGAACCATTGTTATCCTATTGAACAGATCTTCCTGTTTTAAATATAACGTACGAGTTAAATAATTGAAAGGGGAGATCTCCCCCTTTTTTTTGCCTTGTCCACAATTGTATTATTAATATATATATACGTATAACGAGTAAATTTATTTTTATAGTTTAAACTTATAACTAAAAATAATATTTATAAATACATTATTAAAAATACATTATCTTTATACAATATTTGAATATATATAATATAAACTTGAAAAGTTTATAAATACATTTTTGTAGAAATATAATTTAATGAAAATCTATATTTATATTGTAACTAAACCTAAAATATTACCAATATAATTTACAATATTCAGGATTTAAAAAATACTCTTTAATATTTAATTATATAAATATTAAATATAAATATCGTTTAATTTAAAAAAATCTTATTTATTTTTTTTAAATTGTCTAGGCACAATAGTAGGCACAGTCGTGGCTAATAATGTGATGTATATTATGTAATAAAACTATTGGAATTTAAAAACTTATTTTAATCAGTATACGTGTAGATAAATTTTAATAGCTGAAGATAAAATGTTTGTTGAAATCTACACGCTTTTAATATTTACATAATTTCACTTCACTTTTCTTATTCCGTTTTCTTTTCTGTGAATTCTTTGTTTTTCGATTTCGATGGGTATATTACGAATAACGACATTTGTGCCAAAGATAAAACAAAAGCTACCGAATTCTGAAACTTTAAAAAAATATAACGTATTAATATATATTTCTTAAAATAAATAATTTGCTTGAAAATAATAAAAAACAGATAGTTTACTTACGATAATAAAAACGTTATTAATTATGAGACCATATAATAACCATAAAAATGTGACAATAGTACCCATAAATATGATCGGAAATGGAAGAATATCCGTATTTTTTGTTTCTATAATTTTTCTCTGATAAACAAAAGAAAAAAACAACAATTATTGTAACGATTCAAATAAATCCAATAAATCCATTTTTTATAAACAATTTATTAAATATCATTGCACATAAATCATTTAATTTTAAATTAATATTTAAAAAAGCTTGAAATTTAATATTTCAAGCGAAACTTTTATTTGCATTATTTGTTTTATGCAAATGTATAACAACATTGTTCACGGTAATATTTTAAATATATATAATATATTAAATATCATAATATTTTAAAAAATGATATTTTAATATATTAAAATATCTTTATTTAATTTTTTATTGTACATTTTCATATTTATAATTTTCATATTTTTTTAAAGATTAACATTTGAATTTATATTTATATTTATTAATCGATATTTTTAATACTAATAAATTGTATTTATATGTGTATATATTAACTCTAATTTAAAATCATAAGTCATAAGCATTATTTTGAATGCGATACAAATGCAACATATTTGAAATATCTATGTTAAATTGAAAGATTACGGAGAAATAATCGCTCGTTTAAAAATGAATTAAACATTGTTACATTCAATGACGTATATCACGAAAAATACCTTCATCAATCAGAAATTGACGCAATTCGTAAGAAAGAATAAAATTTGAGAATTATATATTAATTTTAAATCTTACATTTTATAATTATAATTAGTCTTACAGAGACAATTCTAACGTTTTAAAATTTTCATTTCGCTATTTCTATTGTTATGATTACACATTTTTCGCATGATTTGCCACGGCTTATAACTTTTTAAAACTTCTTGTCGCAACACAAAATTATTGTGCAATGATTGCAAAATTCCTCGTCGATTATTGTATAAAAAAGAATTAACTATTTAGCAATATATATTGATAAAATTATTTTTTAAATTTTTTAATATTTATTATTAATTTTCATTTTTAATATTTATATGTCAATAAATTAATGTTATATTTTATATTATATTTTATGTAAATTAATGTTACATTTTTATTAAATCCTTTATTTGTTGGATTTATTTACTTTATAAAATAATATACATAAAATTTACGAAATTGTACTTACAAGATGTACGAGAGGAAATGCTACTAAGAGCAACAATAACACTGTCACAATCAAACCGAATCTAAATTCGATCTTCTCGGGACTTTCCACTTGTGCATATGCAAGAAAGACCATGACAAAAGTTGTTGCCTTGCCTATCAAAGCAAGTATATGTTTCTAAAAATGCGAAGACTTGATATCAAATATTTATTCAGCTTCTGATGTGGTTAGAAATATTTGTCCGAAATTTCTTCGTACAGCAGGAACTTTCGTTCTTCTCTAAAGATATAATTTTACCAAACTATCGATATATTTTATTATAATTATTTGAAATTTAATAAAAATACAAATCTCGTTGTAAATCATATATTTACCGATTCTGTCATAGATTTATAAATGAATTGATAAATTAAAATGTATAAAATGTATAAATATAAAATGAATCATTTAAAAAATATCGATACTATTTTTAAAATAATAATACAAATTAATATTTATATATAATTATATTTCTTATACTACAGATGAATAGAATATATATGATTTTATTATTTAATTATATTTTTTTAATAATTATATTTAAATATCAAAAATTTATTGTTTTAAATTTATTGTTAAAATATTAAGAAATTAGAAATGTTATTAATTAAAGTACGTTATAAATATGAAACTTCTTGTTTTTAATTTAGATTTCATATTTATATTTAAAACTTAAATATCTAATTTCATCTATTATACATAACAACAAATTATTATTAATTAAAGATTTTAAACATAAAAAATAAAAAAAGACACAAGAAGATACAATGAAAGAAGCTACATCATGCAATTTGATTGAGAAATATAAATTCGTACCGTGTGTGGTGAGTAATAATAGAATACAGCCATGTATGCCATATTTGTGAGTAATCCAAAAACATTAACATTAATCATTGCAATATCTTTCAAAATCCATGCATATTGAAGCATTAAAATACACCTATATAAAATTTTTAATTTATTATAGTTCTACTTAGATAATCTATAGGTTTTTTATATTACAATTATAACATATTTTTTCACAAAAGAAAAAAAAATACTTCAATTATGAACAAAAATATTGATATATTTAAATATTTTTACTATACAATATAACAGAATAAAATAATTAACAGAATAATGTTTTTAAATAACATTAATTAACATTACTTAGTCATCATTATGCTTTTTGTATTAAATAAAGTATTACACTTACATTCCTATACCACCCAAAAAAGGCATGGAATCAAAACCTTCGGATGAGCCTTTTTTATAAATATCCTTACATATCAATCTATAATTAAGTGACATTTAAATTTAAACAATTAAATTATAATCAAATCTTCTATTATTATTTTCTATTATTTAATATTTAAAATTTTTATATAAAATCTATATATATAATATTTTTATTTATATTTATTTGCAACATTTTTTAAATTAAATTGATAAAATGAAAAATATAATTTTAAATGGTTTATAAAGTTACATATAATAAATATACTTTATGACTATAATTTCATTATACAAATTTATGTATTAAATATCATATATATAGATCTAAAAAATATAGATATAGATCTACTGTACAAGCGAGAAATCAATTATATTATATTTATTATCACGTGGAAGGAAAAAATACAAGTAGCAAAGGACGATAATATTTCTATTGAATTACTCAAATATTTTTTATTATAAATATGTTTTGTAATAGAAATCAAATGTTATATTTTCAAAAAACATATAAATTAAATAAATATTTCGTATTTTTTCAACTTACGTTCCAGATAACATTTGACCCATTGTACAAATTGAGGCACATGATGCCACAAGTTCTTTATAATCCTCTAAGCCCATTGTAGATTAACAGTTATCTTCCTCTAAACTCAGTAACTACTATGAATCACTTCATCACTAGGAAACTGAATGGAGTGCAACCGGTATAAATAGGAAGATTAGGAAAAAAGATAATGATTGGTAATATTATTTCCATTTGCGACGCTAATGTGTCGCCCCACTGCGACATAAACGTACACTTTTTGCTTATCGGCATAAATTCCAATCGATTGTCAATTTTTGATAAATGAAATCAAAGGTATTTAATTATTACGTCATAATTATACTGTGTCATGTAAAAAAGAATATAAGGAAATTTCCATTTTTTATGATAAAGTAATCGAACATATTTAATCATTTTGAATATATCTTAAGTATGCAGCTCGTATAATTAATAAAAATTAAATTATATAGCTTTAATTTTCAAATTAAAAATTATTATTTCACACAATATTTTTATGTACGATATAATTTAATTATACACATTACTTAACACATATTTATTTCAATAATATTTTATTGAACTATATAAAACAGTAAATAGCATATGCGTGTTATAATCAATGAGCGTGATCAACGCAATCTGGTGATTTAACAAAGATTCAATTTTTTTAGCGCTAATTTTAAATATCTATAATATAATTTAAATAAATTCTGTTACATATATTATTTCACTAAAAATTATTTGACTATAAATAGTTAATAAAATATTAAAATATTTATTTTATAATTAAATATTTATTTATTTTATAATTAAATATATAATTATAATAAAATATTTATTTTATAATTATATAATTCAAAATTAAATTTACTTTTATTTAAAAAGAATTTTCAATAAATTTAATTTACGTTATTCATATCTGAAAAAAATGATTTATTTAGAAAAAGATATTATACTTGCGTCATAAATATTGTGTATCCATGGTAGATAAATTTATTGTATGTATCTTCAATATGTAAGTAATTTTTTTAAATCCTGAATGAATTAATTAAAAGAAAATAAGATAATATTTATAATAATCAAATACAAAGATAAAATGGAACAATATATACAAAAACATTATTTTTGCATTATTAATATTTTATGTAATTAATTATTTAATTATAAAAAATATTATATATTGCTTTGTTTTTATTTATTTTACAAGAAATTTACTATAATAATTTATAAAATATCTTTTTTTAATTCAAAATTATCAATATTGAATATTTTATTTTTAGTAACAAGAAAAATCTAGAAAATTCAAATACATTTTACCCCATAAAACATTATTGTGCGATCTGTGTTAATTCACTTCACGATGTCAGAAAGTAAAAACGATAAATCAAAAATTGATTTAGGATTATTAGAAGAGGATGATGAATTTGAAGAATTCCCTGCAGAAGGTAAAATAATTCAATATCGTGTATATTTATTAAAATTCAATAAAAGTATTCTTGTAGTATTCTAACCTCAATTTGATTGAATGACTTTGTAGATTGGACTGCAGTAGATGAAGACAATGAGGATATCAGTGTTTGGGAAGATAACTGGGATGATGATGATGTAGAAGACGACTTTAATCAGCAATTAAGGTAATTCGTATTGTAATATTATTTTTCAAAAATATTTTTTTAACATATTTATTATGCATAAATAATTAAACGTCTTATTATATTAATATTTCCAATGTAATAAAAAGGTTTATATTAAAAATAATTTATCTCCGATATAAATTTTTTCAAAATATTAAGATATTTACACTAATATATATTAAAAAAGCATATTAAATAATTTTTTAAAATAATTTGTTTCAGAGCACAATTAGAGAAACAAAAGGCTCAAAACAAAGGAAAGGAATCATAATGAAATTATAAATTAAATATTATTATTCATAAATATATATTAACTTATTAAGATTTCATATACATTTAAATTTCATTTGATATATATTGATAGACTTTTATTAATTGAGAAATATAATAATTTTTCATAAATATTTGTACAAAACTTAAACATTAAATATAAATGTACAATTTAAATGCATATAGTACCTAATATACATGAAGTATATCATACAACTCATAAGAGTCTTGTATTAATGAAAAAAATACTTGGCATCTTTAGTATAAATATGTAATCAGGTACACAGTCTGTTTTGGAAAATTTTATATAATTCTACATTATATCGAGTCAACAAATTTAGTACATATGGCACATCAATTCCTTTTGACTAAAATATATCTCAGTAACTAGTAATTCTTATCTAGCAATATTTTTAACTTCAATAATAGTTTAGTAGAATTGAAAAAAGGAATTGAATTGACTGTTTTTATCGAATTAAAATAAAATGAAATTATAAAGATATTTTACTATGATTCGATCTACATGAACTTAATAACTGTGATGCTAGAACATCTAATATTTGTAAATTTAAGTCTATATTAATTTTTTTTATTTCATAAGAATCAAGTAAATACTTTAAAATATTTAAAGTATCATCCTCACCAAATATTAATTTTATGTCATTTGGAATTTTAATTAATAGCTCTTGTAACAGTCTTTCTTTTAATGTTAATGGTTCTTCAGAAAATTTAGTTTGTACAGTATGAAGTGATATATCACTCAATTGATCGGAAATTCGTAAAGTAACAGCCTGTAAATTAAACACATTCGTAATTGAACATAATAATAATTTTTTGTAATAGTAAAATATAATAAAAAAATATAAATTATTACTTGTAATATAGATTCAGTAACACTTCCAAAAAGTAATTTTATCCATCTAACAACTGTTTGTTGTTGTAAAGCATTATTACTTCCAATTCCTGTCAATAATTCACAAATAAGATCTACAGCAACACTTGTTAATATTAGATGTGAATCCAATTCGTCAATATCCTCTACAAATAAAGATAATTTAAAATTGAATTTTCAAAACATTTAATTTTTTTATAATATTTACCTTCATAAGAACTTTTTACAATTTCCCACCAATTAGTTAATAATGCAGAATCATTAGTACTTTCCATTGAATCAACAGCTTCATAAGCAGAATCCACACAGGAATATTCAGTTCTTTCAGTTATTAACTTTTGAAATTCTGTTGCTAAACTTTTCTATTAAAATCAGATGAAATTTTTATATAAAATTAAATTATTTATAAAATTTATGAAATTTAATTAAATATACATAATCTATTTAACATTAAATTTATTTACCGATTTAATATCCTCGACAAATCTCCATGGAATATCAGCTAAAGGCATTAATGTAGGTAAGGGTACATTTTCTTCCTCTTGTTCAATTTCAAAACCTGGAACAACTGTTTTTAAAGTATTAAAAACTCCACTCACTGTCTTGACCAAAAATTTATCAAATCGTGGTGCAACTATATCCGCCTTTTTATTAGCGTTACTACTTGGACGTAGAAAATGTCGTAATTGTGATGGACATTCATTAGCCAAGCGTGTAGTTAAAATTTTCAAATAGTTTTCTAATTCAAGACGACCGCCTTCTGGTAAAATCAAATTTGACATAACAGATGCTAATTCTGGAATCTGTAAAATTTATATTATATAAAATATCAAAAAATATTTCATATAATATTTCAATAAATGACAAATATATATGAATATTAAAATTACTTCTTGTAGACTAGTATGTAACTGAGCAAAATCACGATATTGTCTCCTAACAGTAGCAGTTGTAGTTTCAAATAAATCAACTCCACGTTGTTCTATATCATCAAATTGAATACAATAAAGTAACTGTTGTGAACCATCAAGAGCTGTATGAAACTCTGTCCATGGAATGGATAAATTTGTAAATTGACTACCTTCATATACTACATAAGACTTTTCTTCAACATGTCTAAAAAATATAATATATATTTGATTTTTTTTTATAAAAATTTAAAAATTATTACTACTTACAAAGGTGTATTCACAGTTGATTTTTGTTGTAATACAGTTCTAAGTCTAGCAATTGTTGTAGCAAAATCTGTAGGTTCTTCATATACAGGAGATATTTTATCTTCTTCTATTTCAGAATCTACCTCTACCATACTCTGACCCCATAGACCTCTATGTTCTGTAGCTAAATTATGTAAACGTAATGTAGGTCTCCTATCATTTATAGATAATGAGGTATTTTCGTGCTCAATTAAAGCTTCATTAGATGATTCAGATTTTGATTTTGGTAGTGATCGTGGAATTAGAGCTGCTGTTGCAGATGTTATACCACCTCCTAGAGCATTAGATATAGCTTTCTGAAATAATCATTTCATTAATTGAAAATTAATGATGGTAAAAATGGTAAAAAAATAAACAAAAAAGCTAACATTTTGAAATTATGAACATACTTTAGTGAATTGTGAATATACATTTTTTTCCTGTTTATTTTGAATTTTGATAACTTCTTTTGCCATTGGTTGTAATAAATCTGATAAATTTTGAAATAGCCAATGTGGAGAACTTATTGTTTCAATAACTATTAATAATCTTTTTGCTAAGATAGATAATAAAAGTTTACATGGCAATGAACTTGTTAATTCCCACTGTAAAAATTCTTGTGCTAAAATAGTAACCATTCGATGAAGCATATGCTCTAATACTGCTACATTACGAGAACCAGGATGCAAATATTTAAATGCTTCCTCTAAATTTGGTGCAGTTCCTTTTTCTACTCTTCGTAATGCTCTATAATATAGTTCAATCATTAGGTTAAATAATAATTTACTTTATAAATATTATTATATATAAAATTATATATTATACCTGTGATATTCTTTTAAATGTAATAAGAACACATTAGACAGCTTGTGAGTAAGCTTTATTTTGTCAATTAAACTGATTTTATGAAATAGTTTGGTCAATAATTTTTTTAATAGTTCTTGTGCTTCATTAGGAAATGATTTGTCATCACTGATAGATTTATACCAAACTTTAATGCATTTTAAATTTATTTCCTTCACTAAATTATGTATTTCTACTGTTCTCTTTTTTTTTTTATTGCTTGTTTCCTTTTCATTAGATATAGCGATCATTTTTTCTTTCTGTTTTTTATGAGGTATTTGTATAGAATTTATATTTTTATTTATCTTTACTTCATTTTCAGATTTATTATTACATTCATTTTCTTTTTTATATTCATATAATTTCAAATTATTAATAAACTTTTCATATAGCCAATTATTAAGAAATTTTATGTTAAGTGGACTATTAGCTTTTAATGCAAGTTGAAATAAAAAACAACTGAGCCATACTGATAATATTATAATAAAAATAGCCCATAAAATAGAAACATATATTGGTAATGGTGTGAGACCTGCCCATTCTTGTATAATTAAAGATAACAATGCACATAATATACTTAAAACCAACAATATCTGGTTCAACCAGCTCATTGGTATAACTTTTCCCATTGTAAAAATAATATAAGAATATTACTTTTAACATTACATTTTGTGCTAATATAATATAAATCTGTAAAATAAATATTTTCATTATTTTATAAATTACAAATATCAAAATTATGTCAAAATATTATAAATTTATAAATTATATTAATATAAATAATAAAATCCTAATAATAAGATGGAAAAATTTATTTGATAAATCCTTTTAATGAAAAAATATTGTGTCACATAAAAATTTTGTATCTAAGAAACAAAATTCATATACAATTTTACTTTTTATTTAGAATTATACTTAACTGTATTAATATTTTAATAATTATTTATAAGACTTACCTATATCCCTAAAATATTCCTATATTACTTGTATTGACATATTGACATATTTTATACTGTAAGTTCGACATTTTTTATTCTCTGTCGAATTGAATCATCAAATTCTTTCGCGAACATTAGTTGTTTCATATATACACATTAATAGTCACAAATCATTAACTAATAAACTTTGAATTTATATGCACCTTAATTTTTATAAACATTTTATTTTTTTTTTTACTAAACGACAAGACATAGATTACATTTAAAAAAGAATGGCTATCTCTTTGTCACCGCGTGATTATCTTTGCTTTACTACAATATATAGACAGTAATAATCATTGTATCTAAAGCATAAACAATATTTTATACAAGATATGTCAAAATATATATAAATATATTTATCACATGAAAAAAGATGTATAAGTATTTGATATTGTGATTATGAGATTAATTATTTTTATTGATAAAGAAACACAATACATTCATATACATATATATATATATAAGAATAAATGCTTATAATGATATGATGACGCATAAACAAATATAAAAATACAAGCTGTATAAAGATTATGATTCTTCAATTTTTAACTTCTATTCTAATTTCTATTTTTATTATTTATCTATATATTATTTGTATTTATGCATTCATAAGAGTTTAATATTTGATTAATTTTATTATCTTTTTTGCCTAATTATTGATTAAAAATCTTGACAAAAATTATACTATATTTACACATGTATTTATGTTTTTATAACTCATAAGAAGATATATTTATATATTTTGTACATACACAGAATATTTTTCTATAAATTGCAATTTTATATATATTTGTATATATTTTATTATATATAAATTAAAGATACATACATATATAAGCAAATATTTCTTTATTATTCATTTTTATATCATATATTTTTATTTAAATAACTTTTAAATTGTAATTAATTAAGTGTCTTTTTTTTTTAATTCTTTCCTTAATTATTAATGAAATATTTTCAATAAATTATTCTATAATATTTAAATTTATTAAAAATTTTTGATTAGCGCCATCTCGCGTTTGGACACCCAAAGCTCCGATTTGTTATTAGGATAATAGAACGTATAAGGAAGTATTCCAAGTTATAAATAAGAAAAATAACTTCTCATGACGTCACACGAATTCAAATCTTTTTACATGTTATATTAATAACAAGTCGGATCTTTGAATAGTCAAACGCAAGATGGCACTGATCTTAAAAACGTTTTAGTAATTACCTCTTTTATCGAAGTGTCACAGATATCATTTTAAAAAATTATTTCTAAAAAGAAATAAGATGGCGCTGATTCTTAATTCTTATTTTATTTTATTCTAGCTTTGAAAAGTATTTTTCATATTTAAAAGATGGTGTTGATTATCAATTCTCATTCTATATTTAT